CCTCCGTTCGAGAATCACAGAAAGTCTTGCCACTTTGCACTCAACTCCCCAACATAATACTCCACAAATTGTTCACATCATTACCAGTAATTAAGCATTTAAATTAATCCAATCTCTTATAACTGAACAGGCGCCCGCTTCACTGGCTCACGCCTTCCCGACTTGCCCAGCAATCTCCAGCTCATCTTCTTCATCTCCATGACAGAAGAGCATCAGCATTATAAATTGGCGGCGGCGTTCAAACAGCTCCGCCACTTCTATGCTAATTCTGGTCACATTTTGCCCCCATTTCGACTCCTGGTCTTCCCTTCGTGTCCCAATTGCGCGGCGGTGGCATGTAAATTTATGCTGATCACCACTGGCACGATATGATTGCATGTGGCGGCGCATGTGATCAATTACCATCTAAATTGGCCGCTTGTGATATCTTTCTCCGCGCCACGCAGTGTCACAAAATCTCGCGAAGCTCCCTCAATGTCAGCGCTGCACTTCAACGGGTGAATCGAAAACGAGAAGAAAGTCAAAATCGTTATTTTTTTCAAAAGTTTGGCAAAGTTGTGAAATTTACCTCAAAACATCTTCCAATCGTCCGATAAAGTGCCAAAATTGCTCTATAATAATTATTTTGTGAATATTTCAGTTGTTTTTTGAAATTCTTAACTAAAATATACCAAGATGAATTGAAAAAAATAAAAATATTACTTTTTAAAATCGATTAAACAGCTGTGAAATTTGTCAAATTTACTTCAAAACCATCAAAACACTTTCCAATCGTCCATTAAAGTGCTAATATTGCTCTAAATTAATTATTTTGTTAATATTTCAGTTGTTTTTATTGATGTTTATTGAAATTTTTGACTAAAATATACCAAGAATTATTGAAAAACTAAAAATATTACTATTCAAAGTCAATTTTAACAATCTTCGAGGACATTTTTATCTAATCTAGTTCTGAAAAATCAATTTTTCTTTAAAGTTTTCAAGTAAAAATTTTTTTAAAAGACATTAAAAAGAATTCATTCAAAGTCTAAAAACATTTTAAAATAAATTTAAAAATTCAAATTTATTTCTCAAAGAGGCATTTTATGCGTTTATCTGCAAGTTGAGACAATTTTCTTAGAAAAAAATATACTGAAAAATTGACTTTTCATAGTTTTCGATTCACCCTTTCGATTCGAGCTCATCTACATCAGCGTCATGCGAGAATTGTGCGCTTTTCGGCACATATTTCAATTAACTCGTCTCTCAAATACGAGGAAAAACTCCACAGACGTAATTTTATAACCGATTTTTATTATATTTCTTTGTTTGCTGCCCAAAATTGCGCAACGAAAGTGCGTGTGATGGCAAAAATAGGGAAGTGCAGTGAAATTTTTTAATTTGTATTGATTTGTGTCGCAATTATCTGCCCTCAGTGTTGATAATAACAAGGGAAATTCCTTTTCCTCTTCAAATTTGCAGCAGATTTCTTTGTGCATTCCAAAATCACCACCTGATTGGGGGTTTTACCGGATTTGTCGCACTTGAAAAGTGCAAAAGTGGTTCAGTTTTGCAGATAAGATAAATTCCTCTGCAATGACACGCGCGCTGCGGGAAGCTCTAAATTTCCTCTCATTCTGCCATATTTCAATAATAAATTGCCACAGTGGAAATGTCGAATTGCTGGTGGCGTGCAATAAATATTCTAATTAATTCGATGAGTTTTAATTGGCGACAGAGGCGAAGGAATGCCCAAGAAGTGAGTCAATCTGGCAGTCAGTGGCACTCTTTCTGAGGGAAATCTCCATCACTTTCGCCTTCTGTTCCCATTATCTCGCCACTTGATGGCTCCACATTCATTTCGCCACCGACGAGCGCCCCCCGGCCCACCCCCGGCGCCCGGGTGCGTCGGTGGGCGGCAGCAACAAGGCGAGTGCTGGGAGAATATTTAGCCACAGAGAGAGATTCATCGATCGTTTAGTGGCAGACGCTATCCGGATTGCGTATTATTTTCGTTCATTCCATTTTGGCTGTGCTGCCGTATAGTTGGGATGTTTGTGTTGTTAGTTTCCTCTGCGCTGGACGGAGAACAATGGCCACAAAATTTCTTCTTATATTTAACCTTGACCTACCCCAATTATTCTTGGCTTGTGCGCCCACCATCATTGGGTCATCTCCAGTATCATCATCAGCACGTCATTATCATTATCAGCACTGTGGCCCGGAGGTGGAGGCGATTCTGGGAAATGCCGGCCATCCGCAGGACAGAGAGAGAGAGACACGATGGCTCATGAGCCACGAAGAGGTGCTGCTGAATAATACACGTCAATTTCGTCAATTGTCTCCTATCTCTCCTTCCGCCACGTCTTGCGCCAGTGCGACGAATTTCGAGAGGGTCCGTGCAGGTGCAAGAAACCAGGCCGCAACTTCTTCTCCCAACCCCTTTCGGCGCACAATTTTCCCGGCAATTAAGTGCCAATAAATACACCCAAATGCAATTGACAACATCCTGTTGCCACACCAGGAAGTCGCCTCATTTGCGCTCATCCTTTTTTTTATATCTTGTGAAGAGGGATGATTTAGAAAACGCTTCATGGCTGTCTCGCAATCCTTTTTCCCACCCTTCCGTGCCGTTTAGTCGGGGGCTGGCCGAGAAGGGTTGAGGAGAGTGCGATAATGGAGGGTTGCATCTTCGCCACGTGCATCTTCTCGTCGAGCAGCACGCGCTTTCGGGCTCATCCTCGTGGCAATCTCCTCGGGATCAGCCCATGAATGGGGTAACGAGTAAACAGACAATTTGTCCTCCGGCGCTTTGGCCCATGAATTTATTGCTCCCTGATTGTCCTCGTGAGTATCAACGCCATTCGAATTAATCCCGCGCAAGATAGCAATCGACAATTGGGCGAGAGAGAAGAGATGAATATTCCAATAAATAAGCAAAAATGGCGTTTGAGCTTTAAAGCCCCAGCGAAGGAAAAGCGCCCACACCCTCGGCCCGCACGTAATATGAGAATATGGCGCTTCTCAAAAGCATCTATGTGGAAAAGCGTACATGACGATAGTGAAAAGCTCCCCTCGGGCGGGCGTGTGTGTGTGTGTGCGCGCTTCCCCAGCTGCCCAACCCTCGGCTCAATATGGTGAATGGTAATGGAAATATAAATTTTAAAGCAGCCACCCTCGCAGGCGTGATGGGTGAGGCGAGCGCTGACAAAGGAGGGGACGCCGTTGCCGCATTATGAGGCCAATTCATCCCCCCTGTCGCCCACTCGAACACCCCCGCCAGTGTGAAGTATACATAAAAGTGAGATTTTATATCGTCCCCGGTGTCTCTATGGGGTGTTCCTGCCCATATTTTCCCTTTTTTATCGTCACCAACACACACCATAAAGATTTTTCATTGGACACCACGCTGCGCACGCGCCACACTCACCCACTTCACCCCCACACCCCTCGGCCACCCCCCCACACACCCTCCCCCTGACGATAAGCAGCCACCCGAGCAGCTTCTGAGCTTTCGCTCCGACTTACGCAAATTCGCCTCACTTCGCAAGGCAATCTCAAGGAGATTTCCACAGTGTTTGTATCTGATAAGGCGCTATCAATTCGAAAAATGTGACAATATAGAGAAAATGATACGGAATGTGTGGAAACATAAGGCGCGCATATGAAGAAATTTACGTTCAATAACAAGATAGGATTTTCCCAATTGAATTACACATAAAAGATTACGAATTGCGGTCGATTTGATATGTAAAGAGTTTGATTGCTGAGGGAAATCCATCTTTATTTCCATCCACCTATATTTAGACGATTTTTGAATAACAAGTCTTGGTTTTGAAGGGAATCTTTAGATCTTTTGACTTGCACAAAGACGTTCTAAATAATTTTGATAAAATCAACGGTGTTAAAATAAGAAAGATTTATTATATTTCCCTTTAAATCAATGTAAAGATAATATTTATATGAAAAGAACAACAAAAAAGCTTCTCTTGAAGGTGACTTCAACTTATTTATATGGAAAAGTAATGATATCTCGTGACACATTTCGCAATATTGCTGCAAAAGGCCGGATTTTGGTCGCCCAATTTGAAGTGTGTTCGAGTTTCTTAGAAATATGAATATGAAAGGGGTCTTTTTCAAGGAGTTATCACACTGATAAGCGCGCTGATTCACCGCGGTCAGCCGATTATTGCCATCTCATCTAATTACTGACGGTAATTTAATCAAATTTTAATCAAGACTCGCTTGCGTAGGACAAGCGCGGCCAATTGGACGGTGGAGATAAGGAAATTTTATTTATATTGCGAAAGAATTGTGCAATCTTCCAAGTGTCCGGAGAGTCGCGATAACGCGCGCGCGATGATTAATTTGTCAGGGGCGCAAAGTGTTGAGTTTTGGAGGTGGAGCGAAAGTCTGCATTTTCCTGAGACACTTGATTAGCATGGATTGCTGAGTGGTTGAGGACTTTTCACACATACATAATGTGACGGGACGTCCTCCCACCGCGCGCGCGGCTGCAGGCTGCGGTTGCAGGCTCTCCGGCAGCCCCAGGACAGGCTCTCACCGCCGTGCACGTCGCCCTCTCTCGGGCCTCCCTCTCACACCCACCGAAGCGCCGCGCTGTGCGACTGTGTTGGCCTGTTTAACATAAATGCGCATATAAAATCGCGCAATTCAAAATCCAAAATTCTGATTGGATACTGAAAAATCCCCACCGTCGATGTACAAAAGCTGGGTGATATTATACCATCCACACTCGCTCTCTCTCTCCGTTTTATAAGTTTTTCACTCACAAACATAAATCGCGGGCGGCTTCGAGCATTATCATAATACCAGCAGCAGCGGACTGAGAGAGCGCAGGAGAGCCGCTCTCTCTCAGGCTGTTCTGCATACAGAACGGCGTCCGTGAGAGCGAGAGAGCGCACAGGCTGTGAGTGTGTGCTGAGCAGAGCGCCCATGAGTGGCGCGCAAATACACAAAATACGATTCCAACACGAATTATTTACTCTCCAACAGCCACTTCTCTAGTCACATTTGACGATCCGTTGGCAACGCATGTGGCGAACCACGTTCCGTCGCGTTCCGTGTTTCCTCAGCCGCTGGCCGAAAAGCGCGCGCCACACTTGCATGTGAGTCAAGTGCAATAAACCACCTCACGTGAAGTATATCCGCCACCTGTCCATTTGAATATCCGCGCGCTGCAGGCCTACACCCCCGGAAGCGCTGCTGCACCCGAGACGGGCTGCTGTGTGGACACTCGAGTGCGGTATTGTTGGTTTGTGATTCTTGTGCGACGGCTTTTCTCACTCCGCGGCGCCGTTCAGTGTTGAAGAAGTGCATTTGTATTTTCCATATTGGAAAGAACTGAGATACTCGAGAAAGAGGGAAAACCTGAGATTTCCGTAGCCACACGACGCCCAGCCAGACATCCAGGTTAGATTGAACCCTCCCTTTAGAGCCACCTTGCCATGGCAAATGACGATGTCTTGTAATTTATGTGTGCCGATGTGCTATCGACTTATCGCTGTGCTGCCCTAAAAATCATCATTGACACTCCAAGATATGCGCAATCAATTTGTGTGCCTCAGTGACAAACATAATGAGTGAATACTTAAAAATAAGCAGCAGAAGAGTGACGATAGAAAATTTCCTATGACTCTTGTCTTCTACCTGAGCGGAGCGATAAGAAAGTTATCACTGAAAATAATTTCCTATTTGCAATTTCAACATCAATTCCATTTTACCGAATTCTAGGTCGCCAACACACTATTAAGAAATACACACACGATAATTTTTTTTTTCCTTTCTTTCTTGCCCGAAAATATATAATTTCTCGCATCAATATGATCTTATGATGGAAGACTGTCAATAAATTCACATTTCATACTCAATGACGCCATAAAGATAAGCCCCCAATATTTGTGCTCAGGCGTCCTTCGGTGGTGGAAAGCAATTTTAATTTTTATCTCTGATTAAAATCAGTTATCAAGTCGCTGGACTAAAGTATAGAAGTCCATTGATTTTAGCAATGTCCGGCAGAGAGCTTAAAGCGTCTAAGACGCGCTCACCTGAAGTGTGATAAAGCTGGGAAATTGAATCAGTTGCACTTTATCTCTGTTAACTCTCTGCGTTTCTTCCCATTTTCGCCATTTTGCAAATATACCCAGATTATGAGGCCAATTTGCAGTGCTGAAGTTATCAAAGACTTTTCATTGAGATGATTGAATGCAATTTTGTTTGACCACAAAATGAACAAAATGAAGAGCAGAAGAGCTTGATAATGAAGAGATTGTGATGCCAAAAGGTGTAATCTTGCGCTGAAGAGTTGAAATTTGAAATTTCTTCAAAAACACCAAAGAAAGAATGATTCTAATGCATCACAAAGTATCGAAGATGTTAACATTGTATGTGAAATTGCAGTATTTCGCTCACTTTGCTTAAATACAAGTGCTGGTTTTAGTGGTTTTACCCGTGAACCGAAGAGTCCTCATTAAAATTGATATACTTCCAACTTTGCCGTCGTCACGAAAACACAAATTTCTTCACCCCTCCTCTGTCACGTCTTCGCGGGGCTTTTCTTTCGGGACAAGTGAATGCGATGGCAAACAAGTGCCTCGAGGGAAGTCCAGGCGCGAAGGGGAGCCAGAGCTGAGGAATCACAATAACACACCAAGTCAAAATGACAAATATTTGCGTTTGGAGAACTCTGATAACAGGTATCAATAATAAATTTGTGGGGCACCGCGCGCGCAAGAAGAAGAAAATGTGAATTTTGAGCCGATTTCGTCTCGCACCTCCTTTTTCGATTTGTGTCGTGCGATTGACAAATAAATATAAATTTATATGTACATAGAAGAGAGAGGGGCTGATTAAGTGTTACTAGTTCACATAAGCAAACTCTCTTTATCACCTTTGGGATGTGTGATAAGGAATGGCGGCGGGGGGAATAATTGGTAAAGTGTCTGTCTTTGCGCGCCAGTTGAGAAGTTTTCTTCGCGGGCGCGCAGCGTGATTTGAATACAAAGGCCGTGGGAATTCGGTAGCTCGCACTCAAATTGAGATGAATCAATATGCAAAATTGGTGGTAAATTGTCGGTGAACAGCGCGACTACCGGCTGGGATGCATGTGGTGCGGATTTCGAGAGAAATTGATGCGCGCCAGGGGAGCTCATCTCGCGCCTCCCTTATAAATTTGACATGCCGGCAAAGTGCGCCTGTAATAGACTTATCAATTTTCACCTCATCGAATTGTGTTCTTCTCCCCTTCGGCAATTTCTTCAAACCAGCCCAAGAAGAAGAAGATGATGAATATTTGATGCAGTCAAATCATTCTTTCCAGTTTGCTGTGTACGCGCGGCGGACAAAGGCCTCGAGATGCTCCTGAGACGCGTCAGCGGATCTGGATGGACATCAGTGTCCGCGGGACAGAAGTTCGGCGAGAGAAAGTGAATAATATTTGGGAAGACGTGCAATAACTTCTGGGCAAGAGAGAGAGAGAGAGTGACTTGAGGACAAGTGTTGAGTGCTAATCCGTAAAATTGACGTGGGAGACGGGAAAAGCGTGCGACGAAAGGCTCGGACGGAGGAGCATTATGCCGCTTCTGGTCGCCCAGCGCAGTTCGCATCGAGTGGCACTTGACCACAGCTCAGCGCCGGCCACGGACCAGCCCCTGGACTTTACCATGTCCAAATTCAAAACATCCACCAGGCACCAGCTCTACCGTCAGTACTACGGAGCCGATGACTCCCCACCGCCCTACAAACACGAGGAACTGGGTGAGTTCTCCGCCCAAAATCCATCTCAATCCATCCCTCAGGAGTCCCTCAAGACTTTTCAGCGTCGTGTTAAGCAAATCGCCTCGCGCCCCCGCTCGAAACGTCGTGTGATTTATGATGGATTCCCCCGCAGGTCTCAAGGGTGAAGTCAAGCCAAGAGGGTGAATAAGATTTCACGTTTACACATGCATATCATTTTCCCACGATAAGCGACATTTTCACCCCCTGCTTTTGCACACGAAGAAACTTCTTGCTAAAACGGTTTTAAATCGCTCAGTGATCCACCATCTGACTTTTATGTAAGTGGCGGTGCGCCATCTTAAGTAATAAGACTTTGAAATGATGATTTCAATTATAAATTTCAAGTCGAAAAAACTACAAAACAATTAAGGAAATAAATAAATGGAAAACGGGAATGTGAAAATCTCTCGTTTGATCTAATCCCAATTAAATTGGCTACAAGTGTTTTCAAAATGCCACTAACACATAATTTAATTAATTAAATTAAATTCTGTTTATTATTTCGTCGTTTTTTTTTTCAACACAAAATATCAAGAGTCTAATAATAATTTCACGCTTCACGCCGTGACATTTTTGGATAATATATTTCTCCTATTTTATTTATTTTCTCAACTCTAATTATTCTCTCTCTCTCACTCACTTGGGCGGTTTGTCTTTTCTCAGAGGGAAGTCATCATATGTACGCAATGGAGCTTTCAAAAAAAAAAAAACGAGGTTTAATTTGATTTTGAGGAGTTTGACTTTGATGATGTATTTGTGCATTTCACGCGCACACACACGCATTGCGTGAGCTGTGAAAAGCTGAGTTGCTCATTGAGAAAGTAATCAACGAGAAATTGGTTGTTGTTCTTGATCTAAATAATAAATTTTTCGGTATTTACTACATACAATATGAATTTTTATTATTCAAGAGCGGGAACAGGAAATGAGATATTTACAGTGGTGGCTATAATTGCCATTTGGCCGAGACAATAACAAGCGAAATGGGGATTAAGAGCGTCGGTAGCTGTTGGTCATTTGCTTCAATGGAAATACCTCAACGCCCCTTCTTCTGCCATGGGAATGATCATTGTGGAACAGTTTTAAACATTTGTCATCAGGTGACACCTAATTAACGGGAGTTTTGACAATTTCGGCAATTACACAACAAGCATTTTGTCGCATCTGAAAAGTGGTGAACATTAGAGGTCTGATTTCTATCTGGCCGTCGTACAGCGGCGGGCCTTTCGGTGACTGTCCAGGTCCAAATTGAGCGAAAACGCGTATTAATCATTTTAATTTGCCTACACATTAAACTTCTTGGGATCGAGAGGGTTCACTGCAAGGTGCTTCGGCAGCTGGCAAATACCTTTTCATCTGTTTGCGGTCAGACACACGAGACGAGAAGAAAAGTCCACAGAACAAATAGAGAAAGACTCACGCCACGCCTACTCACAAGCTCCGCCCACTTGGGAATCTGCAACTTCTTGTTTCTCATCAAAACCGTCTCTCTTGACGACTTTTCCGTGACTTCTCTCAGTTAGTGCGAGCTTCTTTCAGTGTTTCGCGTCATGACGCGTCTATCGCTGAACCACCTTGACTCTATTGTACCTGTTGAACCTCGACATTTTGTAAATATACCGGGCGAGTGAGCGAGAAAGAAGTGGCAAAAAGATTCATTCATAAAAATCCGTGTGTTTGGAAGATGAAATACGTTGCCGTTATGCACATCACACGGCAATCTAATGATAATTATGGAGTTTCAATGGCACCGAGCACAAAACCACGTAATAAACCCATTTATTTGTTAATAATACCTTCAAGTGCCTTCCTCTACCCGTCCATTCTTCCCGAACGCCCCTTCTATTGGCATTTCTCTGAGACACGTGGTGGATTTCAATGAAAATTTACAACTCTTTCTCCCCTTTTTCTTTTGCAGAAAACAGTGATAGTGAAATGCGAGAGAAACCCTGTGGTAAGTCCTGAATTGAATGTTTCGTTTAGAGTTTTGAAACCCCTTTTCGCGCGATTCCCAAGTGTTCTCAGCGCAATTTCACGGGGGTAATTTTTAACAACATAAATTTTTTACCCTGCGTGCGATTATTGTAATCAAGAAGAATTAATAGGCAGGAACAGACGATTGGTCGATGGCCGTGCACAGCTTATCTGGTAATTGGATTAATGAAAATTCGTGAGGAGTTAACTCACACCGCGAAGAGACGAGCCAAAGAGGAAGGTTGAGAGCGAACCTCATTTACACTGTTCACAATCTCAGCTCAACTGCTGTCATTTGTGATCCGGAAGGAAATGTTGGGCAAAATCATGGCAATTGCTGAGTGAAATTATGATTAGATAGTCGTGAAAATGTTCTGAGAAAGGCAAGAATATTTGCTAATTTTTCACCAGCAAAAAGAGGCTCGAGGAGCGTTTCTAACAGTGTAGTGTAATTTCCATGTGAGCCTCTACAGAGACGCGATCGATACTGATATTATTTATAATAATATTCCCCGGATCCGCGCGGTATGCAGATGATGGGCTGAGGCACGTCTGTGGCCATTGTATCCTTCACCTTCCCTCGTTGCCGAGGTGCGTGGCTCACCTTCCGCACGGTCTCACGGGCTTCTTGGGAATTCTTCCTCTCCGCTGCGCATGGGATTCTCCCGAAATGCCCACCTGAGTGTGTGCAGAGAGAGGTGAACAAGTGGCTTACTGCTGGGGCATCGATAGCCGGTTGTTTAATTTTTCCACGGGCCCACTTGTGATCATCCCCACTGGATGCACGCGGTAATTGTGCCAATTTCTGACAACAACACTTCATTTCCACGGGCTAAAACGGCGGTAAAAAAAGTGCCCCTCAAATTGACAGCACGAGATTCGAACCTGTGAATGTCCTGTACGCGACACTTCTTCACTGTTATGACAATCTTTTGGTGCGGAGAATATTTCCTGAAAACTCACCCAATTAAGCCAGATATCTTTCGTAGAAAAAAAAACAACACAAATGAGCGTGTCTGAGCGACTGAAATATGCAAATGTCCGCGCGCTTTTTCGGGAAGCACTGAAAATTCATCTTGCATAAAAAATATGAATTTGAATACATTAAGAGCGGGTGAATAAAAGGTGTTGCTATTTATTCACTTTGCACGGGCCATTGCGCCTATTTAATTAAAGTTCTCCGGCTTATTAGAACTGTAATCGAGCGAGATCGCGTTAGATTAGGCGTTGTGAGGTGTGATGGAGGCGCCTGGTGGATGCTATATATGTCATTTTCTCACGAGATGCGCGCGGTGGGCAAAGTATAGGGAAAATATGTTTGTTTGGAGTGTGTTTTCGCGGAGCATATTTGCATGGCAAAATGCATGGCAAATTGTATGCAATTACATGTAAATTGCCGCATTAGCTGATTAATGTGATAATATTTAAATTTTTCATCAACGGAAAAAATATATAGAATGTGTTGTTCCGCAGACACGATGGTGAAGTCGTGTCATCAATCATTTATTTGCATATTCGAAAGAGAGTGTTTTGGGCGCAAAAATTGATATGTTTGCGGCGCAGAAGAAGCGTCAATGTTGAATGAAATATGGCTGTTTTGGGGGTCAATTATGGTTATTTCACTCGAGGCGCTGCGAAATGTTGCTCGTGGCAAGGTTGTCTTCTCCTTTGGCCACTTTTGGGCCACTTCTTAGCCGCACTTCCCCCGGGCTGCGCACGGGAAAAGTGTCCACACACACGCGAAAACGCGATGTGGGAAATTAGCAGATGATTCCACATGTCTGGGCCGCGGCGACACCCACAAGCGCGGCCACTTTGGCTTCCTCATCACTCATCCTCCACATCGCGCAGGGCATTATCAATCCACTTGAGCGCGCTCAGCCATGGCGGTTGCATACAATCCGCGATGTGGCTTTGATTACAGTTTTTAAGCGATCCCCGAGGGCGGAGCTCCCGAATTGGGAATCACATCAAGAGATATAAGGGGCCTCCACTAGGTCCATTCGCCATGTGACTCCGTCTCGTTCTCACTCGCGCATGTTTATTTTATTTCGCCCTTTTTTTCTCTTGCCTCCTCATTGCTATTATTATTATTCTGATGTGCGCAATGCGCTTGGCTGTTTTCATTTCATTATTGAGCACTTTGCCATCATCTCAGCCGCGCGCTCCTTTGGCTTGGATTTATGCGAAAGTCATGGACGCATTGTGTGTTCATCATATACCATTTCTGCCCATCTCACTGTTCCTCCAGAGATGCAAACGATTCACTCTTTCGGTGCAGCCCGCGATACACTGCCTTGCACAATTGATTGAGAGACTTTCAGGCCACTCAAGTGTGGGGATTAAACCGCAATTGAGCATTGAACAAGACGCATTTAGTACGCAAAAAGGGATGAAATGTGCATAATTTTTAAGTTTGTCGTCACAAAAGTAGCGAAAATTAGGCTTCAAGGGGAAGATATTATGGTCAGAAATGATGTACAGCTCAGTAGAAGTGAAAAAGAATAGTTCTTTACGTTTTTCTAGGTTATGTTATGAATTTAAGACACACTTTGTCAATAAATAATTGCAAAAATCATTCTTTCTTGCGTCTAATCTGGTAAATATAATAGTGAAATCTGATGAAGATCACAAGTTTTCAATATTAAGGTTGATCATAACCTCTAAAATATTGTTTCAGGACAATAAATTGCCTATTTTAAGAAGTATTTTAGGGGTTTTCTATGCTTAAATAGTAAATTTCTGCTTATTTTCGATTTAAAACAGAATAATATTTCCCATAAGTTCCTTTCAAGCATTTTTCTTGATATTTCAAGATAATTTTTGAGGTTATGATCCAAAAAGCATCCAAAAGAGCGAAAATATCCCGTGGAAACTTCAAATACTTCTTAAATACTGCTTCTCCGTCAATTTCCAAGGTCATATAATTAGAAATGGCGTCTTTTCAGGTCAAAGTGTCTCTCGTCTTGAAAAAAATTCACTAAAATCCAAATCTACCGTAGCTTTAGCAGCACTTGAGCCAATTTCTTCAAAGTCCAGACACTTTTGCCGTGCACTGTTAGTGCATTGCTTCTCATTTTGCCGACTTGAACAACTTCTTTTGCTCCATCGAGGGGCCGCGGCATTACCGATGCTGCTGCATGCAGAGAAGAGGAGAAAATAATCTGGTTTCCATAACTTCATTTTCATATTATGAATTTTATTAAATTGCGAACTATATTGGATTGATGGGCGAACGGAGGGCGTCTTCTGCTGGCCACAGAATTACCTTCTTCTCAACTCCTTCTCCCACAGCCTTCCCGCGTATCATTTGAATATGGGTGTATTGCGCGCGGACCGCGAGAGCGCACGGAAGACGCGCTTAATTCCATAGCCCGGCCGCGATTGCGGGGCCGCGCATTATCGGGCGAGCGAGGCGCATCTGGGATGTCCAATCCACGGCCCAGCGACTCACACAACACATGTCGAACATTCAATTTATTGGCTTTCCACCGAAAAGATTATTCATTCGCCATCCCGCGCCGATGGTTGATGCACACGCGGAAAAGCTCCGCAGAGACGCGCGCGAGTGGGAGAAAAATAGCGCTGTGAAAAATGGAATTCAACATCATCAGGGTTACAAATCGCTAACATGGCACATGGTGAAAAAAAAAGTGAAGCTAAACTCTATCACAACATAATTATTAAGCTGCAAACACAGAGCACACAAGTCGGCAATTAAAGTGGTGCGGATCTTGGGTATTAAAGCATTCACGGCGTGTATTGTAATGAAAACGATGACTTAATTAGATATTCAAGCGATCCATCATGTAAAATACGTGCATAAGTCTGCAATTAAATTGACTGTTTCTGCCATTTTTTCTCCATTTCGCTCATCTTTTTTCCTCGCTTGAGTCTCACTTTCGTTCGCGGGTAGAAAAAATTGCGATGGCGTAGAGAAAGATCTTGATTTTGGCGTAGAAATAACCTAGAAATGCGGAGAAATGTTGCTTTCTTACCAAAGGGGAAAGTCAGGCGATTTCTGAGGAATCTTTATAGCCTCAATTGAATATTTAAATATTGATTTTTACTTTGGAATAATAAAAAATTGAATACAAATAAACGAAAAAGATAATTTTTCAAGTAAAATTGTAAAATAAACACAAATTTAATATTTTTGACAAAATATTGAAAAAAAATTTCAATAAAAACATTCAAACATTATAATTTTTCAAGTAAAATTGCAAAATAATCAAAAATTGATTATATTTGTCAATATATTTAATAAAAAATTCGTTTCAATAGCGAAAAACTCACAAAATTTCCCACAAACTGGATTCGAACCCCTAAAATTGGGAGGAAATATAATCGGAACTTCAGCATGTCTTTGAAGTTAAAATTGCTGCCCTCTGGCGGCAATATATGGAGAAAAAAATCAAATATTCATATAAGGCTGCGCAAAATCTATTCACGGATTCTCTTGGGCATTAAAACAACTTCTTGAGCGCTCGCGATGAGCGTAAATTACTGCGTAGATATTATCGCATTTGATCGAATGTTGTGTGTCACTTCTCAATTGTCCATAAATGCGTGCGTTTCACTAGTCATTTGCCATCGATATAATTACGCAAAGCTTCTCCCCTTGGCTTCTGCGGTGGGTGTTGTGCGATTAAGGTGAATTTGCAGAGTGAGTGCGCTTGGCTGTATCATTTTGTGCAGTTGCTACACAATGTTTCACTTCTTTTCCCTCATACACAATTTTCATATGCTAATTGCATTGTCAATTAATAATTGCTTTCCATTTGAAGAAAAAAAAAAATTCTTCAAATTTATTGAGCGTGGAGCAAAATGAAAAATATTTTAATGAAATTAGCTGCGTGACGCATTTCCATATAACTCAATGTTGCTTATTATTGTTTTATTATCTTACCAATGAATGTATTAAATTTGAAATGTGAAAATCCAACAACACTCACACACCTTCCTCCTTTCCAACTCTGA